TAATAAAGGGAATTGCGTCAGCCCGTAAAGACTGCACTGTTCACGTGGACGAAGGCACTGGTTAGGCCCAGTGTTACCAGGAAAGCAAAGCTCTCCATTAGCCTGACATGTGCCAACAGAGTACAGAGTCCAGACTCGGACAGGGGGTGCTGCGAATGCCATCAAGGAGAGCCGTCAGCTCCAGGGCAAGTGGGGGCCTCTGATAGAAGGCCTGAGAGTGCAGTCAGGTGAGAGGTACGTTTATGATAAAGTGAGGCATTCACGCTGATTAACCTGCAAATGTGCCATGCGCGCCACTCACCTGCACACTTCAGAAGTGGACTTGAGTGCTTCTGAGGGACTGTTGCAATAGCTGTTTCTTTCAGAAGTTAAGTTTTAATGTATTCTCACTCGAAACTGATTGCCGTGGAATCAGAACCAAATCATAAGTGACCCTCTGGCAGGTTTTCAGAGACTGTTAGTCAGGTGGGAGGAGACTGCCTTTTTCTTCCACAGAGTTGCTGGTGGATTTGAACTGCCAGACAGGTGCTGCCTTTGGGCCAACAGCTCTGCTCCCTGAAGACTACACCACCAGAGCCCTCTCTCGATGCACTGTTGCTGCTGTGTGCCATGGAGCATCAGGACGTGCAAACTCTTGCTAAGCCTCAAGTCAGAAAGAATCTTCAGGCTGCTTCCTGTCCCACACAGACTCACCCACGGGCTCAGGAGGGCCAGCATCGCTTGCTCCAGCTGCCTGCTTGTCACTTGCTGAGAAGAGTCGGCCCTGAGGAAGGCCTTAAGTATCTCAAAAACATCCCTCCTCCTATCAGAGATCATCAAGCAAGGGCCCCTGGGCTACAGAGTCTTTATAAATAGTTGGAAACAGAACATTGCCTCATGAGCTGTACAGTTTATGTGAAATGCACATTCAGTGTCCACGGAAAACGTCTTACTGGGGGTGAGGAGCTCTAGAAGCACCATGTGCTCTGCTCCACTGCTAACTGTCCATGGTTTGGATCCACCTGCTGCTCCGTGGGACAAAGAAGAGCAGCTTCCTCCCCCTCCCCCCCAAAGATTAGTTAACCTGACAGAAGATCCTGATGGGTCAGAATCACCTGATAGCAGCATGTCTGGGTTTGGGCTTATGCCACACAGTTGTGCACAGATGTGCGTTTATGTGCTGTCTAATCTCAGTGCTCATAAATAAAGCTTTATTGACACAACCACATCCACTTATTTATACATTTGCTAATCTCAGTTTGAGTTGTGATGCTGGAGAAGAGTACTGAATATAACATGGACTACTAAGAAAACGAACAGGTTCTTCCCTGAGAGGATTAAACCAGGCTGCTCCTTGCAGGCAGGGATTCTGAAGCTTCGTCTGACATACCTTGGACATGTTGTAAGGAGAGACCGGTCCTTGGAGAAGGACATCATGCTTGAGAGGGTGGAGGAACAGCGCAGGAGGGGAAGACCCTCTATGAGGTGGATTGATTCGGTGATGGGGATTATGGGGGTGGGGGTGTCAGAGACAGTGAGTTTGGCACAGGACAGAGCAGGATTTAGGGTTGTTGTACATGGGGGTCTCTATGAGTTGCAAGTGACTCGACAGCACATAACAACAACAAACAATCTCAGTACTCATAAATAAAGTTTTATTAGCACACGTCTGTATCCACTTGTTTCATGCTGTCACAACCACTTTCTGGCTGCAACTATGTGAGGAGTTGTGATAACGCCTAGGCCTCAGAACTTGAGAAAACCCTAATGAGCCCTTGACAAAATGTATCTGCTGACCGACCTCTATCCCAGTGCGGGAGAACAGCCTATTGTAAGGGTCAGGCCAGGTGCTCACGGGCAGGCACGGTGCCCAGGGCCCAACCAGCACTGCTCTGTAGCTACTGAGAAGCCTCTGCAGATGTGGTTGGAATCTCCAGGGACTGGCCACACGGCACTCCAGTTAAGGAGATGACCCTGGGGCATTAACTGTCCAATGCTGTAATAACACAAATACTGCAGGGGGTGTTTAAAACAAACAAAAGTTCATTTTCTCACGGTTTAGGAAACTGGCAGTGCAAATTCAGGATGCTTGTTCTAGCAAAAGGCTTTCTCCCCACAGGCTCTGAGGGAAATTCCTCGTGTCCTGGCAGCTCTTGGTTCTCGACACCGGTCGAGCTTCATGTGGTATCTGTCTTCCTGCATCTCTGCCTGCTTCCTCGGTTACTCACTCAGCACACCCTTGGCTTATCTCACAGGATACTTACTCACAGCCCCCACCAACATTGCCACAACAGAGACCCATCTCCAAATAAGATTGTTGATGGTTTTGTCGTTAGGTGTCCTGGAGTCAAGTATAGCGACCCTAGGAACCTGGACAAGGAGCGGTGCTGCCAATCAAAAGGCAGGTGGTTTGAGTCCACCAGCTGCTCCAGGGAGAAAGACGGCTGCCCACCCATCCAGCCGGCCCCTGGGCCCGAGCTGCTGCCCGCGGGAAGAGGTTGTTAGGTGTCCTCGCGTCAAGTATGATGCATAGCGATCCTACAAGCCTGAAACCTGCCCTATCCTGTGCCGTTCTATTCATCCCTGAGACACTAGAGCCGTTGCTGGAGATCTGCACCCATTTATAACATGACCAACTGCCATGCAGCCAATGTTGATGCCTAGCAGCTTTCCACAGGGTTGCAGAGCCTGCCAGTGCTTCTCCGCTGGACTCCAACAGCCGTTCTTCTGGCCGCAGAGCAACACCTGGGCTCCTTGACGTCCGCCACTGAGTTAGAGCCGACCCACAGCTCCAGCAGGTTCTCAGAGGCAGTAACTCACACAGCAGCTGGCAGATTTGAACCACCTGCATTTGGGTTGACAGTACAATTCATTATCCCAAAGCAGTATGAAGGATGTCGTTGTCAGTGTGTACCAGCAAGTAGGAACCAGTGCATAGCTGACCCTCCAGTGGGTTTTCAGAGACTGTAAATTGCACTGGAAAAGACTTCCCAGCTTTCTCCCCTGGCGCAGCTGGTCGATTCAAACCACCTGACTTCAGACTGGCAGCACTGCTCCTTCCTTACCCAGTAGGACACCAGAGCTCCCTAATGCAGGAGATAGGGGTGAGCATGTACAAGTCTATTCTTTGTGTTGTGGAGACCACAATTCAAACCACAGGGGCTAAGAAGCTCAATTCTGTCCCTGATTCTGTCTTCCCTCAGCCAGGTCCCCAATCAGGATAGGTCTGGGCCTTGCCAGGCCAGGGGGGACACTGCTGGAACAGAGTATGGAGAGGGGCTGGGGAGCAGGGGAACTACTGCCCCAGGTCCCCTCCCGGCCTTCACCCAGCACAGGAGCACAGCCAAGCTCCATCCTCATGCCTCTGGTTTAGGGAGGCCACTGTGGGACCTGGACAGCGCCCTCTGCATCCTTAGTGAGTTGCACCCCCACTCTGCTCTCCCCAAGCCCGGAGCTGCCCTTTCACATCTTCCCTCTGTATCCACAGCCAAGGGGGCTGGAACAGGCCAGCACCCCTTCCTACCCACAGACTCGGACTCGCGTCTGCGTGCCTCCCTCTCTCCCATCGCCACCCCATTCTATTTGAGGGAACTGTGAGCACGTCGGACATCTACGCCCGGCAGCTGGAGCCGGCTCTACACCAGTGTAGTGACCAGCGCACACTGCTCTTTCATGTGGAGAGGTCGCGAGTGTCCCCCTGGGCGCATTTGGACCTCAGGCGGCTGGACGGCTTCTGAGCCCTTTCCTCCACCTGCGCGGCCCTGCACAGGGACTCCTTCCTGAGCGTCCAGTTCCGCTGCGCCTGGACGCAGGACGCGAGCGTGGCCGCTGGGCGCAGGCTGAACGGCCGGGTGTCCCTTTAAATCGCTGCAGTGCCGGGCGGGCAGCGGCGGGAACCCCTCCCCCTGCTGCAGGGAGCCGCCATCGGCGCCTCCTCCGTCCCCATGGTGACGGCTGCCCGCCAGCCCGCTGCCGGCCCCAGGTCTCCGGCTGCTGCCCGCGGGAGGCGGTCAGGCGGCGGACACGGGGCAGCCGCCCCCGGACAGCGAGCGCCGCCGGGCGCCTGCTCACAGCCCTGCAATCTGTTGATCCTCACGCCCAGCTCGCGTGGGGGACGCGGCGCTGCGCGGTGAGACGCCGGCCCAGCGCTGTCCCCGCCGGCGGCTCAGCTACAGTAGGTGAGGCGGACTCTGCGGCGTGGGCCCGGAGTGGGCGGCGGGGGGCTCTGCCCTCGGGGCTCTGGACAAGTTTGTGGAAGACGAAGCTGGTCTTCCCGCGCCCCGGGCGCAGGCTGCGCGTCCAGCGAGGGTGGCTGCGGTAGGGCGCGCTCCTGCCAGAGCTTGTGGGAATTAGCCCTGGTCCCTCTGCTTTCCTCACTGGCCGGTCCCTTTTCACGGGGGGCTGGCAAAGGTGAGGGCTACCGGGAAGGTGACGTCCGCCGCCTTCTCTTAAAAATCCCCAGGCGCGCATCCCTGGACTGTCACCCCAAATCTCGCCCGTCCAGACAGCCGGTGCTGGTGATTCCAACAGGCTGCGGATGACCAGAGGACAGAATTCAGGGACAGCTGCACTGGGCAGACGGGGGTGCGGCTGCAGCCGGGTCCTGGCCACCCTGACCCCACCATTGTCTCTGCAGATGGGTGCAGCCTGCTGCAGCGCCCAGCCAGGCCCAGTGGCTCTGAGGTGCTCGCTCTGGCAGCCCAGCCCCTCGGCCGCCATCTGGGACGCTGACCTTCTGGACGCATGGAGGCTGGCGGGGAGCAGGGAGCCACGTAAGCGGCTCAGGGGCGCCGCCCTCGGTGCAGCACTCGGCGTGGTCACTCGGTGGGGCTCATGGTGAGTGCACTGGTGCTCAGGCGTCCCTGCACAGAGCAGGAAGTTGGGGGGGGGCGGTGCTGGCAGTCCCTGTGTTGGGGAGTCCATGGGCTAGGACTGGGCAGGGCTGGGAGCACCTAGGTCCCCTGGCGGCTGCTCCTGGCGGCTCGGTGTGGATCACACTAATTAGTTGCAGGCTTACCGCAATGTTGAATCATTTAACAAATGGAAGCGCCTCGCTCAGCTTCCAGGGTCAAAGCCAGGCACACCCCCCACCCCCACCCCCACCAAAGCGGAGAAGGGAGAAGACCTGGGCTCCTTCAGTAGGATTAACTGCCTCAGCCCTGCCCCCTGCATCTCTAAGTTGGCCAGCCGGAGAGGACAGGGCCAAAGCTGGGATGCAGGACACAGCAGGGCCAGACACGGGCAAGGGACCTGGAGTGCAAGGCACAGATGATGGGGCTAACGGAGAAGGAGCCTGCAGGGTTGATGCCAAGGTTTCATTTTGATGATGGCTGCCTCTGACTCAGAATGGTTTATAGTCAAGTGCTCTGTGTGTGTCTGTGTGTGTGCACGTGCACGTATGTGTGTGAGAGAATGACTGTGTATGAGGGAATATGTACATATGAATGTATGTGTGAGTGTGTATGAAGTATGAGAGTGTGTATGACTGAGTGTGTATGTGTAGTGTGGATGTATGTAGTGTGAGAGTGTGATGGGGTGCAGGGGTGTGAGAAGGTATGCATGTATGAGTGTGGAGTGTGTGTGGGGTGTGGGGTGTGATGTGCGTGTGATGTGATTGTGTGAGAGGGTGTGCATGTATGAGTGTGGTATGAGTATATGGGTGTGTGGTGTGTGTGAGGGAGTATGTATGTATGAGGATGTGTGATCTGAGCGTGTGGCATGCGGGGGTGAGTGTGGCCCACAGGGCACGGTGGATAGATATGCTCCCTCAAGCTGGTCTCTTCAGGAGGCACTTCTATCTGTCCACCACATGACTCATTCACATTCCTTGGGTCCAAGAAGGAGAGTGGCTAGGACAGTCAGTCCCCTCCAGGAGCCTCTCACACAAAAAGCCCGAGTGTTAGTCGCAGATTCGTGACCCCTAGTGTCCTGCTGACCTCCTGGTGCCACACCCTCAAACTCAGTCTGGGTTTCCCAAACTGAAGATTGGCCTTGATGGCCACTGGACAGATAGTTGGTGCAATGCCACTAAAGGCTTGGCTGCCCAGAACAGCCATGCTGGTCTAGCCATCTCTAGCCTTCGAGGGCAGGCAGTACAGGAACTGGGCATCTCTGGTCCCTGGGTCTATCCAAGTGAAGTCATAAGACAGTGGCTTTCTCAGTCCCAATGTGCTGAGTCTGTTCTCACCCAGAACCCACTTAGGATCCAGGCTTCGGGGCTCCAGGCCACGCTCTGTGCTGCCCTGCCCACCATTGTGCACCCCTCAGGGATCCAGCTCACCTCAGACAGGTTAGGAGGTGGCTTTGGAATCTCAGAATCCTAGGTGGATTTTACCTTCTAACAAGGACAGCTAACCCTCCAGAGCGTGTCTGAGAAGTCCCCCCAACCCCCAGCGTGGCACTTGTCTGTGATGCAGACAGTGGTCTGCAGTGAGGCATGTCCACGCTCAGTGGCTGGAGTGCATTAAAGAGAAGATTGGGAGTCTTAAGGGATGGGTGATGGCCTGACCCTGCCTGCCCCTCCCCTCCATGCATCGGTTCCCAGCCCCCCATTCTCAGAGCCCCAGCTCATCATGCGCAGGACAAACTCCATCACCTTGCCCAGGAGCCCCCCTCGTTACATGTGGGACCCTAGCCTATTCTTCTCAAGACTTCCCTCCTGCTGGGGAACACCCACCCACCATGCACAGGGGGGCCCCTCATCAGGCTCAGGGCACAGAGGCCCTTCTGCCAGGCTCAAGACACTTCCACCCACCAAGCACAGGCCTCTCCATGGGCAGGATGGTCACTTCTACAGCTGAAGCAGGTCATGGTTTCAGTGCCCTCCCTGGGACTTGTGGCGGCCGGTGCAGATATGTTGCCCAGCCCCTGTGGGTTTCCTAGTCCCTCTTCCAGCTGGTCATATGCCTCCACAGGGAGGGGGGGCATGAATATACAGGTCACAGTGAGGCTGACCAGGCCTCAGTCTCCTCTCAGTAGTGAGAAGGGGCACCCCAGCCCTCAGCAAACAGGTGCAGGAATGCAGGTCTTCTGGGCAAAGGGCTGTGAGTGTCTGCACTCAGCTGGTCCTGAGATGTGCACCCCAGTCTCCTCTAGTGACCTCACTCTGAGGAGCTCAGTCAGACCCAACCTCCCTTTTCCACCTCCTGCTTACTCTGCTTTCTCTGGGGCTGGAGTTGGTGGTCTGGAGTTGGCAGTGGTGATGGAAGGAGGCGGCCTTCACTGCCCAAGAGACTGTGGTTTAAAAAAAATGTCCTTGTCATGGGGTCAGGAATTAAGTAGAATGGTTGATAGGGTTAGGATGCTGTGGTGAGATGTGGTGTGGTGAGACATGGCACAGCACTGTGTGACAGATGTAAGGTGATATGGTGTAGTATGATGTGGCATCACGAGATGGCATGGCATGGTATGGCATGGGAAGGTGTGGTGTGGTTTGTAGGTGTGGTGTGGTGTATAAGCGTGGTGTGGTGTATAAGCGTGGTGTGGTGTGTAGGCATGGTTTGTAGCTGGGGTGTGTAGGTGTGGTGTGGTGTGTAGATGTGGTGTGTAGGTGTGGTGTGACCTGATATACTACATGTTGTCATGTGATGTGGTTTGAGTAGCATGATGTGATGTGACCTGGTATAGTATCATGTGTTCTGTGATGGAATGTGGCATGTACAGCACAGTGTGGTGTGATGAGGCATGATATGTATGGTGGGGTGTGACAGCGTGATAGGGAGGGTAGGTGGTGTAGTGGGATGACATGGTGCTGAAGAGTATGATATGACAGCCATGACCTAACATGATATTCCATGGCATACTGTGACACAGATGACATTCTCTCTCATTACATGTGTTTTGGGTTGTGTGATGTAGCAGCATGACCTAATGTGATGTTACACGGCATCCTGAGACATGATACGACCGTATATGGTGTGATATGAGCAGTAATATTCCCAGATATGACCTGCTGTCATCTTCTGTGGTGTGGAGGTAGCATGTTGTGGAGTGACGGGGTGCACCATGGCGTGACCTGGTGTCATCTCACATGGTATGACATGGGACACAGCCTGACGTGGCATGACATCACCTGGTCTGCAGCAGTCCTAGTCCTCCTGCCTCACCTCACCTACTCTCACTGGTTCAGTAGACATTGCACTCAGTCACCCTCGCCACCCACAGCAAGAGCCATGACGCCCAACAGTCAGTGCTTTGCTCTTTATGCTTTTTATGACAGGAAGTGGACCCCATGACAGGAGGGGGCCCCATGACAGGAGGGGGCCCCATGACAGGAGGGGGCCCCATGACAAGAGGGGGACCCATGACATTTCTTGATTCACTTTTTTCCTCCCATCTCATGCCACCTCACCAGGTAGCCTTCCAACAAGAAGTCCACAGCAGACTATTTAATGTAATCCCAATTATGCTAATTTGTGTTTCTATGAATAAATTCTTTATCTTTTTCCTTCTGTCTCCCCTGAGGAATGCGCTTGTGAGTGGCTGACAGATCGATTAGATGTAATTATTATTGTTAAAAGGACAAGGGAATCAGATCAGGCTCAGGATGATCAGCCTTCCTCAGCCCAGAAGGCTGCTTGCTGGACAGGCTGGAATGTCAGCCCCATTGACACTCATCATCCTCAGCCTCAAAGAAGTCACCCCATGAGGGTCAGAGTAGGTGACAGGGTTATGCTTCCATAAGACAAATGGATGTGATATGGTTTGCCCACCTCTCCTACTCTCAGTCTGCTTGTTTGGGTGGCATCCTGACCATTGGGCTTGGGGTGCAGAAAAGACACACATTTCCTGGCTGTAAGCTTGTATTCCAGGAGCCTCAGTGGCTGCAGTTTGTTTTTGTTTTTTTTTTAGTGGCTGCAGTTTTAACAGTGCATTGCTGGGCCTTTCTCTCAGGTGCTGCTTAGTGTATTTGAACCTCCAAAGTTTCCATCAACAGCCGAGCACTCAACACAACAAGCAGTACATGAAGAGAGCAACTCAGAATAGAGGCCCTATCCCTACACAGGCTCCTGTGACTGAGCCACAAGGAGGACACAGAGCCTGAACCTCCCAGAGCACCTTCGGCCCCTGACCAGCTGAGCAGGCTGTCCAGCAGCTCCAAGACAGCAAGGACTAGGATGTGGTACACAACAGGCCCTTCATGCCTCCGTGAATGACCTGCACCCTCCACGCAGCAGGCCCCCCTGCTTCAGTCCCCTCCGCGCAGCAGGCCCCCCGCCCCAGTCCCCTCCGCGCAGCAGGCCCCCCGCCCCAGTCCCCTCCGCGCAGCAGGCCCCCCGCCCCAGTCCCCTCCGCGCAGCAGGCCCCCCGCCCCAGTCCCCTCCGCGCAGCAGGCCCCCCGCCCCAGTCCCCTCCGCGCAGCAGGCCCCCCGCCCCAGTCCCCTCCGCGCAGCAGGCCCCCCGCCCCAGTCCCCTCCGCGCAGCAGGCCCCCCGCCCCAGTCCCCTCCACGCAGCAGGCCCCCCGCCCCAGTCCCCCTCCGCGCAGCAGGCCCCCCCACCTCAGTCCCCTCTGCGCAGTAGGCCTCCTGCCCCTGTGCCCTCCACACAGCAGGCCCCCATGTTCCCCTGCACACTACCTCCATGCTCCACACAGCAGGCCTCAGCAGGCCTCTTTGCACAGGCCTCCACAGGAGCTGCACCTTGTCAGGGAAGCTTCACCACATATGGCCATGATTCTGGGACCACTGGCCCCGTTCATGCTGCACTATGCTGGCTTCCCTGAATGTCCCCATGCAGAATCAAGTCCCCATGTGCCTCTGAGAACCAAGTTTTCCATCAGGCACTTCCTTGAGCATTTTCTAGAACCACCGTCAGGTGCTGCTTCTGGTGCAGCTGCAGCAGGCCCGTTTTCTGCTTTTGCTTCTCTGACAGTCTTGATGTCAGGAGAGACTCACTTTTCCAAAGTATGTTGTTGCTGATTGCCTTCGAGTCGAGCACGACTCATAGCGACTCAAAAGGCCTGAAGCCCCTCTATAACTATTGACATTTATCAAAGTTCATAGTTTCCAGAGGCAAGTTGTTTAGAAAGTGGATACTACTCCTACTTCCAAACCTCAGTGAATGTGTTATTGGTTGAGTTGCCTGTGATTCATAGCAACCCTATGTACAGCAGCTTTGAATTCTTCCCTGTCCCGAGCCAGTCTTACTAATTCTGACACACCAACCCCCATTGCCCCAGTTACTGTATCAATCCATCTCATTGAGGTCTCCTTCTCCTGCACTGTCCGTCCACCCTTCCAAGCTTGATGTCCTTCTCTGAGGATTGATCTCTCCTGGCCGTGTGCCCAAAGTAAGTGAGACAGACCTATTTGTTTTCTTGGCAGTCCATGGTATATCCAAGACTCGTCTCTAGCACGACAACTCAAAGGCATCTATTCTTCTTCTGTCTTCCTTAGTCATTGTCCAACTTTCTGAAGCATAACAAGTAATTGAGAAAACCATAGCCTGGATTAGTCGCACCTCTGTATCTAGATTGACATCATTGCTCTTCAGTACTCTGGAGAGGTCCATGACAGCAGATTTTCCAAATGCAATTCATCTTTTGATTTCCTGACTGCTAATGCTAAGAGTGTTGATTGTGGATCTGAGCAAGCTGTAATTGCTAACAACCTCAGTCTTTTCACCATCCATCCTGATGCTGCCAATTGCCCCAGTGGTGAGAATCTTTGTCTTCTTGACATTGAACTTCAATCCATATTGAAGACTACATTCCTTGATCTTTTGCAGCAAGTGCTCCAGGTCTTTTTCAGCCCATACAGTACCAGACCTTTATTTTACCTTATTTCTGGTTGGATTCTGAAATGCTTGCTGCAGAGGGTCAAGAACTGCAGCCTTCAGTATGGATTGAGGCTCAATGTCAAGAAGACAAAGATTCTCACCACTGGACCAATTGGCAGCATCAGGATGGATGGTGAAGAGATTGAGGTTGTTAATAACTTTAGTCTGCTTGGCTCCATGGTCAATACTCTTGGCACCAGTAGCCAGAAAATCAAAAAACTTATTGCGATGGGAAAGTCAGCTGTTAAGGACCTTTCCAGGGTACTGAAGAGCAATGGTGTCACTCTGGAGACTAAGGTGCATCTGATACAGGCTATGGTCTTTGCAATCACTTGTTATGCATCAGAGTTGGACAATGACTAGGGAGGACAGAAGGAGAATTGATGCCTTTGAGCTGTGGTGCTGGAGAAGAGTATTGAATGTACCATGGACTGCCAAGAAAACAGATTCATCCTGGGGAGGTTTAAACCAGGCTATTCCTTGGAGGCAAGCATTCTGGGGCTTCGTCTGACATACTTTGGACGTGTTGTAAGAAAGGACAGGTCCTTGGAGAGGGACATCATGCTTGGGAAGGTGGAGGGACAGTGCAGGAGGGGAAGACCTTCTATGAGGTAGACTGATTCAGTGACTGGGTAATCGGGATGGGAGTGTCAGAGGCAGTGCGATTGGCACAGGATAGAGCAGGGTTTAGGGCTGTTGTACATAGGGTCGCTATGAGTTGCAAATGAGTCAACGGCACATAACAGCAACTGGTTGGATTCAAACCTCCAACTTTTGGATTAGCAGTCAAGAATGTTTACTGTTTGCACTATCCAAAAGCAGACTCCTGAATACAGATATGGTTAAATTCCCCTTTGACCAAAATAGTCTGACGTCTAAGTGGAGCTTTGCAGGTACCAAGTGGATAGGGGTGTCGGGTGGTAAGGCCAACACTGGAGGGAAGATGTGTATGACAGTGGAAACTGGTTTGTGCCATCAGCCAAGTTGCTGCCACAGATCCTGGAGCCTTCAAGGGAGATGGAGGGGCAGGATGACCTCAGAGGGGCACTGATGTGGGGTCTGCAGATGTGATTGTGGGCTGCTGTGAGATGCTCTCTGCAGGGGGCTCAGTAGGGCAGGTGTGGGCTCACTTCTGTCAGGGCTCCTTTCCAACTCCAGCAGCCTCCAAGGCAGTAAATCTTTAAGGAAGGAGACTGTCCATCCTTCTCACAGAGTGACTCGTGGGTTCAAACCATCACCCTTTCTGTTAGCAGCCTGCCAGCTACGCTAGGCCACCAGGCTTCTCTACCAGCATCCAAGAACGACAGGGGCCGTGTGGGACCTCCAGGGTGTAGTGGGAATGCTGCCCTGGGAACTGAACATCAGCCTGGGAAGAGCAAGTCCATCGCAGCTTCACCCGCCTGAGAAGGCCCCACTAGCCTGGCCCCCCCTGTCCCAGTAGAAGTGTCCATTTCTGAAAGCCAGATAGCAGTGACTCCAGGATAAAAGGCAAGAGCAAGCTGCAGAGAAGTGGAAGCCACGTGGTCACAGCCTCTCTCCTTTCTATCTCCAGGATTTGAAGACTGTCCTATCCCCACCCCAGCACCCAGGGGAGCTCCTGCACCCCGTGGTGTACGCCTGCACCGCCGTCATGCTGCTGTGTCTCCTTGCCTCAGTCGTCACCTACATGGTGCACCACAGGTGAGCCAGCACTGGCGAGGTGCCACACATCCCCCACACCACACTCTTCCCAGGGAGTCACAAAGCATGCAGACGTGCCACCACCTGCAACCTAGGCCTGTGGCGGGTACTGGCCATAGAGAGGAAGGCAGCCTCTGAGCAGCCATGGGGGTCTTCTCAGTGTTGCCCAGGGTCCTGTCGAGTTGGGAGAAGTCAGTTCTTCCTTGGCAGTGAGGCTGTCAGAAGCCCACAGCCAGGAAGTCCAAGCAGTCCCCTCCACTCTTGAACTCTGTGACTAGTCATCAATTCCTGAGCTGACTCCTGGCTGGCCTCTCCCAGGTGAGTGGGATGGCCTTGGTGTGCCTGCACCATGTGGAGCTGCACTGTGAAGATGGCCGTGGTCGGTGTCCAGGCAATGATCAAAATCAGAGACATGGGTAACTCCCAGACATGACCACAACAACAGTCACCAGCAGGGGATGAACATGGTCATGGCCATGACAGGGGTCAGGAGCTTGGTATGTCCAAGGCTATGGTCACGGAGAGGGGGTTTGGTACGTTACAAGTTATGCTCATGGTCATGGGCTTATTACATCCAATATCATGGGCATGGACAGGGGTTTGGTATGTCCAAGGTCATGAGCATGGCTAGAGGCTTGGGTACCTCCAAAGTCCCAGTGAAGGTTGTGGCCATTACCAAGACCTTGTCATGATCCAAGCATGCCATAAGTGTGGCCACAGTCAGGGTCAGGAATGGAGAGGTGGCCATGATTGGTCATGGACATAGTGTCAGCAATGGTTGCATGCTGGTCCACATGTGGGCTGGGGGTGCAGGCTGTGTGCGCATCTGTAGCTGTGGGCACAGGCAGCCATGGGCACAGGCAGCCATGGGCAGGCCCTGTAGCCCTGTAGCCATCCCCTGCGCTCTCTGTCTCTGACTGAGCAGCTATGCTCTGGGCCTTGACATCCACCTAGAGGGAAGGGAGCTGGCTGCAGATCCAACAAGAGCCTGACTGTTGTGAACTGTAGGGAGATTCGGCACTGGCAGCCTAACTGGGACCCAGTGCAGCAAGTTCTTGCTGGCCTGCAACCACAGACCGCTCCCTTCTCCATCCCAGGGCTCGTGGCCAGGTACGGGCGCTTGCATCCACACTCCACCCACAAGTACCAGGTCCTCAGCATCATTTCCTCTCCCACAGCGCCATCCGCATCAGCAGGAAAGGCCGGCACACACTACTGAACTTCTGCTTCCACGCAGGGCTGACCTTCACGGTGTTCGCCGGTGGCATTAACCGCACTGCATACCCTATCCTGTGCCGAGCGGTGAGTGCAGCCCCTGGCAATCCTGCTGGAAGGGCATCTGCAACAATCGTCTTGTTTATGAGTTGAGTGCATTTTCTGGAGTCTCCCTGGGGGTACAGCAGGGGTTTCCCCAGGATCACACAGCTCAGTCTCTAGGCTGACGGTTTTGCTCGGCATTGATCATGTAAATAAATTGAACCACCCCACACAAGCTTGTGCTAACATGCTAACTAGATATTACATTGCCACCCTCCCTTTAAGAACAGAGAGCTCTGGTTGTGCTGCAATCCCAAAGGCATGCAGTTCAAATCCACCAGCTGCTCCACAGGAGAAAGATGGGCAGTCTCCTTCTGTGCAATCTACAGCCTCTAAAACCTCGCTCAAGGGTCAGCTGAGTCGCCTCTGGCTGGCTGGTGCCCAGCAGCATCCCCAGGAAAGACTTGGTGCTCTTGGTCTCACGCAGAGGCTGGAGCTATGACTAGGAGGGGTGTGAGCTCATGGGAGATGCTGCAGGGGGGCATAAGCATGTGGGGGGCTAGAGCAGGGGGTGTGGCAGGAGCAGGTGGAGGACCAAAGCGGAGTGGGGGCAGGCGAGAGGGGGAAGCAGGCAGGGGCCAGGGAGGTGGAAGCAGGTGGTCAGGTGAGGGTGCTGCAGCAAGTGGGGGTCTGGAAGAGATGGAAGGGACAAAAGCAGGGAGGCAGAAACAAGCAGAGGGGCAGGAGCAAGTAGGAGCGGGAGCAGGGGCCAGTCCCTTTTGGCCAGCTGAGGTCTGTGGATGTGGATTTCTGAACGTGGGACCAGGGAGACTCTAGCTCGGGGTGACCAGGAGTCCCAACCTCAAGTGCAGGAAGCCCCAGGAATCCCCCGGAGGGACCCAGGACAGCAAGAGCCCAGCCTGGGCTCCACCCCAAGAGAGGCTGCGCTCAGCCGAAGATGGAGGAGGAGCAGCAGCCGGACGGGGGACTGAAGAGGTCCTCCAGGGTCAAGAGAACAGAGTCCAGCCTGTTATGCCCAGAAATGAGACACTCCCTCTTTTACAGATCAGAAGCTTTTATTTCTTGGCCAAGGTTTACTGTCTCCCGTCTCCCATAAGACGAAAGAGAACCACCGCCCCTGACCAATTAGTCAGACATGTAGACATGTTACACTGCTCTGCGCTGACCTGCTCACCTGCTTATCTGCACATGCAAACGGTGTTACAGAAGCCAAAACAGGCACCATCCAAAATTATTAGGCAGGAGGTTAGCAAGATTTAAATGGCAGTCAAGCTGTCAGGATCATGGAACATTCTGCACTTCTCACTTTTATTAATCAATTCTTTGATTAACAAAGTAGACAATTGACCATGACATCCTCCCTCTCATCAAAAGACCAACCTTAACAATGTCATATAAATAGATCTGTAAAAAAACACTGAACAGATCGTAGCTTTAGAAAAATACACACATATCAACACAGGGGCCTATTAATACTACTCCCCGCTGGCAGAATTAACTGTAGAAATGCTTTTCTAGCTGATCCCATCCCCTACTCAACCTTGCTTTCGTGGGCCCCTCCCTTGAGACAGTCCATGTCTCTGTCCTGTGTGTCGGTGGGCGTTCACTGCGTTCACGGGCTGCAGTGAAGCCATTCTGCTTTTCCAGGTACTTTGACAGCCGTTGGGGTGATCAGGCTCACGTGTAAGGCCCTTTCCATTGAGCTTGCAGGCTGTTCGTCAGGCATCTCTTAAAGTCCTGGGAGGACAGGTCACAGAAGTTCACTGCAACTTCAGGTTCCAGTGGACAAGTTCCTTTAGGTCAGGAGGTGCAGAGCCTGAAGGGACTTAATTGATTGTTTCATTTGGGTAACAGCTCTTAAGACAGGCAGCAGGGGAGAAGGTTGCCCAAAAAGAATTTCCAAAGGGGTTAATGCTGCCAAGTAGTAGGGCTACAGGAAGGAGGTGGACCCACCCACTGCCAGTCTCTTTAGTTAGTTTGGGTAGAGTTTCTTTTAACGGTTCTGTTTGTTCATTCTTTCTATTTGTCCTGAACTGAGGTCTATAGGAGCAGTTTCTAAGTGATCGATCCCTAATGCCTTAGCCAACCATTTTCAGATGAAGGTCGTAAGGGCCAGGCCGTTTTCAGACCCCAGACCTTTGCACACTTTCCCTGCTAGGGGCAAAGGCTTCAGTCCATCCTGAGTGTCTACTAAGAAGTATAATTGACCTTTTCCATGGGCAACTTTAGTGAAATCAATCTATCAGACCTCTCCTTGTTGCGACCTGATACTGCACACTCCTAGGGCAACTTTGAGTTGGAAGCATTCACAAAGGCACAGGCGGGGAGGTGGGGGGGCAGGCTAGTGGAGCGGCTGGCTTCAGGGTCTGCAGAGCTCAGAAGGACATCCTTCTGCACTGATAAGGCTACAAAGATAACTAGATTCCCCATTGACCTCTGCCTCTCTTGAATATATTGTTATGTGCTGCCGTTGCTTGTGACTCATAGTGACCCTATGTACAACAGCCCTAAACCCTCCTCTATCCTCAGCCAATCTCATTGTCTCTGACACACCTACCCTCATTACCCATCACTGAATCAATCCATCTCATCAAGGATCTTCCTCTCTTGCATTGTCCTCCCACCCTCCCAAACATGCCGTACCTCTCCAAGGACTGATCCCGCCTTGCAGCATATCCAAAGTATGTCAGACAAAGCCTCGGAATCCTTGCCTCTAAGGAGCCGCCTGGTCTCACCCTCTTAAGGATGAACCTGTTTGTTCTCCTAGTAGTCCATGGTATATCAAATACTCTTCTCCAGCACCAGAGCTCAAAAGCATCAATTTTCCTTCTATCATCCATAGTCATTGTGCAGCTTTCTGATGCATAGCAAGTAACTGCAAAAACCATGACTAGGATCAGGTGCACCTTAGTCTCCAGACTGACATCATTGCTCTTCATGACTTTGGAGAGATCTCTGATAGCAGACTTTCCCAATGCAATTCATCTTTTCATTTCCTGGCTGCTGGTACCAAGAGTGTTGATTTTGGAGCCAAGCAAAATGGCATCCACTTCCTAAACAGCATGCCTCTGGAAGCTCTATGAACTTTGATAAATGTCGATAGTTATAGAAAGGTTTCAGGCCTTTTGTTCATAGGGCCACTATGAGTCTTGCTTGACTCAAAGGCAGTCAACAACAACAACTATACCATCTATCATGATGCTGCCAATTGGTTCAGTGGTGAGAATCTGTTTTCTTGGTGTTGAGCTTCAATCCATATTGAAGCCTGCAGTCCTTGACCTTCTGCAGTAAGCGCTTCAGGTCCTCCTCAATTTCAGCAAGCAGGGTTGTGTCATCTGCATAAGGCAGATTGTTGATGAGTCTTCCTCCAATCCTGATGTCACATTTCTCCTCATAGAGCCCCACTTCCCAGATAATCTGTTCTACATATAGATTGAAAAAGTATGGAGATAGGACATATCCCTGTTGTACACCCTTCCCAATTTTGAATCATGCAGTGTTTCCTTGCTCTGTTCTGACCTCTGACTCCTGGTCCAAGTATAGGTTTTGAATAAGCACAATCAAGTATTCTGTGATTCTCACTCTTCTCAGAGTCAGCCACAGTTTGTTGTGATGTACACAGTCAAATGCCTTTGCATAGTCAATGAAACACAGAAAGACATACCTCTGGAACTCCCTGCTTTTAGCCAAGATCCATCTGACATTAGCTACAATATCCCTAGTACCATGACCTCTTCTAAACCCAGACTGCACTTCAGGCAGTTCTCTGTTCCAGTCGTTCTGGATAATTTTCAGCAGAATCTTGCTTCCATGTGATATCAATAATAGTGTTCAACAATTTATGCATTCTGTCAGGTCACCTTTCTTTGGAATGGGAACAAATATAGATCTCTTCCAGTCAGTTGGCCAGGTGATTGTCCTTCAGACTTCTTGGCATAACTTGTTGAGCACATATAGGGCAGCATCTTTTTGTTGAAATATGCTGATTGGTATGCCATCAATTGCTGGGGCCTTGTTTTTTGCCAATTCTTTCAGAGGGGCTTAAACGTCTTCTTTCATCACCACAGGCTCTTGCTCTTATGCTGTTTCATCAAATTCTTCTGTGCTGCCAATTTATTTTGGTACAATGCCTCTGTATACTCCATTTTCTTTTAATGCTTCTGTGATCATTTAATATTCTGCCCAAAGCATCTTTAAGTATTGCAACTTGAGGCTTGAATTTGTTTAGTTCCTTCAGCTTTAAGAAATGCCAAGCAAGTGCAGCCTCTTTAATTTTATGACTCTAGTTCTTTGCACATTTCATTATAATACTTTGTCTTCCCGTGCTGCCCTTTGAAATTTTCTGTTCAGCTCCTTAATATCTTGATTTCTTCCCTTTGCTTTGGCGTCTCATCACTCTAGTGCAATGTTCAGAGTCTCTTCTGACATCCATCTTGGTCTTTTCTTCCTCCTCTGATTTTGTAGTGATATTTTGCATTCTCCCTGGATGACAATCTCCCCCCGCCCCCAGCGTCGCATGATATTCTTGATATCCTCCCATAGCTCATCTGGTCTTCACTCAATAGTGTTCAAGGCCTTAAACCTTTTCCTGAGATGGTTTTGAAATTCAGGTGGGATAGACTCAAGGTTAAATTTTGGTTCCCGTGGATTTAATTTTCCTTAGCTTCAGCTTAAACTTGTATATGAGTAGTTGTTGGTCTGTTCTATAATCAGCACCTGACCTAGTTTTCACAGCTGCTATTGAGCTTCTCCAGCGATTCTTTCCACAAATGTAATTGATCTGATTCCTATGCATACAATCAGGTGAAATCCATATGTATAGCCTGCCTTTATGTTTCTTATGAAATGAATTTGCAATGAATAAGTTGTTGATTGTGAAAAATCCTAACATTCTATCTCCAACTTAATTTTTGTCACCAAGTGCATGTTCTCCAACTACTGATCCTTCTTCTCTGTTCCCAACTTTTGCATTCCAGTAACCCATTACTATTAATGCAGCTTGATTGCATGTTTGACCTCTGACT